ATTTTGATTGACTGAATCCCAGCAATCCACGTTGCCGTCACACCTTGGGGGTTGGGGGGGGCAGAGGAGTTGCAGGGAGGGGGGGGGGGGGGGGGGCAGATGGGTGTGTTTTGTCCCGCCAGCGGCCAGTGGAGCTGGCGGCGGACTCGGACGGTGAGGAGGTTGGGGAGGAACCTGGGCCAGTCCTGGAGTCTGGTGAGGGCTCTGGCTCAGAGGCAGAGACGGGGCCAGGGCCGTCCGACAATTATCAGCTGCCTTCGGAGTCAGAGATCAGTGGGGAAGAAGAACAGCTGGAGCCTGTTCCCAGTGTGCGCATGCACAGAGCTGCCAGGAGAAGGGAACAGCTAAGGAACAAGGGTCAACTCGGGAGTATAAGGACACAGGTGGATGGTGAACGGCCCCTCCCAGAGGGAATAAAAGAGGAGCAAAAGGAGACAATTAGTTCACTCCAGCATGCTTGCAAGTATTGTGGCGTCTGAAAGGTATCAGCCTGGCAACTCTCCAAGACTGATAAAGCTCTGTAATTGGGAACTATCGTGAAAGACGGTTGGCCGGGACTTTGCTGGGGAGGATATTCATTGTAAATCAAATAAAAGGGGTTTATCGGGACGAGGACTCGGCTTCGTGCTGTTGGGGAAGCCCCGGTCAGGACCGGGTGCCGCAGAGGCGTGGAAGGGAGGCAAGGCGGAAGGGCAACCCAGGTGGGGGGGTGGGGGGTCGCAGGCGAATGCTGGGAGCGGAGGTGCGCCTGCAGGGGCCAAGGGAGGGGCCGTGGCTGGGGCTGCACTGGCTGGGGGCCGGGCTGGGCAGCCTTCTCCTCCCAGGGGTTGCTCCGTAGAGGAGGTGGGCTGCAGCTGTCCTAACGCCTGGCCATCAAGAATGGCAGCCCAGCCATCGGACGGAGACCCCACCCGAGGATTCCCCCGGGAAGCCCTCCGGATGGCCGGCTGCCCCCGGCCCCACCCCGGCTTCCAGCCCAGCAGAGCCTCCTGGGGCCGGGATCGGAAGGGGCGGCTTTCAGCTCCCCGTCCCCTTCCTCCTCCTGCCCCCCCTGGACTCTTTGGGCCTGTTTCCTGTCTATGTGTGTGTGTGGGGGGGAATGGTGTGTTGGGGGGGAGCAGCCTGAGGGGCTGCAGCCCAGTTTCCCTGTCCCCGAAAGTCAGGGAGGTCCTGCCTTTAGGCAAAGAGGCCCCCTCCCCACCGGAGGCTTCGAAGGGCAGCCGCCCCCCCCTCTGGCTCTTGCCCCTGAGGCTGGGGTGTGTGTGCAGATTGTAGCCATGCCTGGGACCCCCCCACCCGAAGGATCCCAGCTGAAGTGCCCTCTTGTAAGACTTCAAGGCTTAACGAATAAAAGAACGGCCCCAAACGGCTGTTTCCCAAAGCAATTCCAGAGCTTTCCTTTCCTTTCCTTTCGGAAGAGGCTTCGGAGTGGCTGGGCTCCCCCTGGGGCGGCCTAGGAGCGGGGAAGGGCCAGATCCCTTCTCCTCCTGAAGGAGCCCCCCACTCCCCGAAAGCCGGCCAAGGGGAGACGGCTGGTGCAGGGCATCCCATGCAGAGAGAGCCGGAAGGGAAAGGCCCCTCCTGGGTTCAGCCCTGGAGAAGAGCCCCACCCCCAGGGGGGCAGGAGGGAAGGGAAGCCCTCGGAAAGGCCCCCTCTCCCCCGCCTGGAGGTAGGGAGGACATCTGCTGGGTGGGAGGGCGAGGCCTGCGTAGGGTTTGTTCTTGCAACCCAAAATAGCCCTGGGGTCTTAAAATAAAGGCCCTGGTCCTGGCCCTGGCGCTGCGCAAACCCTTCTTGGCAGAGGGGCTCTGACGAAAGTGGCGCTCGCTTCCGTCATCGCTTCGACACTCCTCCGCAACAACGGGGAAGGCGGCCCCCTCCCCTCCCACAGAAGGCCCCCCCTCCTCTCAGCGAGCCCCACGAGCTGCCAGGCCTTCTGCCACAGCTTGGCCTCCTGCCAAACCGGGTGGGGGGGGGCGCAGGCTGAACTGAGCCAATGTGGGGAGGGGGGCGTCCCAGAGCCTCCATGGCAGGGAGGGACCCTCCAAAGGGACAACGCAGGCCCAGAGCCACATGGGGGGGGGAGGAGGAGGAGGAGGAAGGGCGCAGGAGCAGAACCCCGAGACTCCATGGATCCACCTCTGGATTCCATCTCTCCAATCCCGGATCCTGGAGGGAGAAAGGGGGCTCCACCCAGAGGCCGCCTGACTCCCCCCCTCCCTGCCTCTGGGGGTCAGGGAATCTCTCTGCCTGGAGGGATCCAGGGGGGATAAGGGAGCAGGGGGGGGGGAGTCCTCCCCCTCTTGGACATGGCCCTCCCTTCCTTAGTGAGGCCCCCAGGGCCCACACCCGCCCCTGGACCCCCGGGAGGTCTTTGTTAGGGCAGGAGCACAGCCCCTCCCCCGGTCCTCTGCCCCCCCCCGCCCCCCTCACCACTCACTCTGCAGGCAGTCCGCGTTGAGCAGGTCCTGGCACTTCTCGTGGCACTTGACCCCACACTCCGTGCAGCGCATCCCTTGGCGGGCGATGCCCCACAGGAGCCCCTCGCACTCGTAGCAGTAGGTGGGGGTGGTGGCGGTCCACACCTCGAACTTGTGGGGGGTGGTGCAGGAGATGGGGTAGATCAAGGCCTGGAGGGTCTTCTTGTAGACGTGGGATTTCTGGGAGGAGGAAAGTTGGAGGGACAAGGCCCTTTTCCTCAGGGAGGGGAGGGAGGGAGGGAGAGGCCCCCCCAACCCCAGGGGTGTGAGGAGCCTTCACCTGGCGCAGACCCCGGCCCTCTGGGGGCCACGTACCGGGCGGTCTCTGCAGAGCCCAGCCTGCGGAGGGTGGTAGCCCCCCCAACTGCACTGCTCTTGGCCAGCCCACCCAGGTCCTAGCCTGACCCCCCTTCCCTCCCCCCAATGGCCCCCCAACCCAAGGAGCAGGGCCTTCCCAAAGGGGGCGCCAGGCTCACATCCCTCCCGAGAGCCTCAATGTGGCCGCCCCCCCCATTCCCCAGAACGGCTTTGGGGCTCTGCTCCTCCGCTAGGGAGGGAGGGGCTATGGGATACGCCTCGGGGGTCTCCTGGCCCGGCCCGGCTGCTGTCCGGCCTTACCAGCTCCTCGTCCTTGAGGGACGTCCGGGTGGCCATGGCCGAGGTGATGCCGGCCTTCCGTGACTGCACCAGCGACTGCAAGGGGAATCAGTGGTTGGGGGCTCCAGAGGGCTGCGCAGGGGTGGCACGGAAGCCCCTCAGGCCGCTGAGCCCTCCTGCCC